ACTCTTGCCCATATGTTCGAAGCATTCAAGCCTAGTCTCTTCAGCACCCAAATACTTATAGACCTCAGAACCTCCGAGGATGGGAATAGAACCCATCTCATTGGTTCGAACTTGCCCCATGTCTCCGCTGTTTACCGATCTTACTGCACATTTTCTATTATTCAATTCCAATCCGAGCCTACTGGCAACTTTTTGGATCCCTTTACGGGCTTTCACCAAGTTATACCAATCTCGCGTGAACACCTTAAGATCATCCATGTAGAACACATGTGTCACCTCCAAGGCACCGTCAGAGCGAGGGCCCTGAACCGGTTTTCGTTCGGTAACCTTGGATATGAGCCTGGATCCAAGCCGAGATAGGAGCTATGGTAAGACAGAACAAGAACGGGCTTAAGGAGTCTCCCTGCATCAAACCATTTCTGATTCGAAGAGGTCGGCTCCTTACTAAACGGCCGTTCGATCGACCATAGTATGTCACGGATTGCTGCGACATCAGGGTAGACAATAGGCGCCGGACATCTGACGGAATGCCCCACTGCTTCACGGCCCACAAAATGGCAGGCAGGGAGTCAAATGCCTTTGCCATGTCTATCCATAACATGTGCAGTTCCTGACCAGTCCGTTGAGCGTCAGCGACAATGGTTTGGTCTATAATCTGAGCGTGTGTGCATCCCCAGATGCCTTTCCGTAGGGCAACTTGACTACCGGGAAACCGGTCTCCTACGGCGGCATTGACATGCACGGCCATCATACTCGTTAGGATCTTATAGCATGTATTTAAACATGCTATGGGGCGGAAGTCGCCGGGTTCCAGCTGACTGGGGTCTCCCTTCCTCTTCGGTATGAGCACAATTCTTCCCTGGCAAAGCCAGGGCGGAACTGAATCTCTAGGCCGTTCGCATGGCGCGGATGCACCATTTTTGGATTTGTAGCCTAGCTTCAGGCAGGTGTTTCCACCAAAAAGCCTGAATACCGTCAGGCCCAGTGGCTTTCCAAGGCTTAACCTTAGAGAACAAAGTCTTCCAGGTATCCTCGGTTAGCTCGCTAGACCAAGAGGATGTTTCACGTTCAAGGGATCCCAGCTTCTCCGACCATTCTTCAAGCTCGGGGCTTAC